TTATATTGACTTATTTCACTTTTGCATTTGGGAAAATTTTGAACATTAAATTCTTTAAGATTTTATTAATCAGCATTTGAAACAGATTTTGTTTACAGTAATAATGTGACATGATTGTAGGTTGTCCATCCATCAGGATCCAATATGCATAACTTCTTAACACCACACAATAACTAATTTTGATTGTCAATTTCATTACAATACACCTTAATGTACAATTTAAAGCAGTGCAATCACATGAAAGTTTTTAAAACTTTAAAATACCAGAAAATGAATAGGAGATTTATATTCATTGGTATCATTGTAATTCACCACCAAGGCTGACTTGACTGTTGACATTTTCCATGACAAAACCTCTTGAAAGTCTGCTTGTCTAGTATAGGGCTGTTTGATTAAAATCTACATTTAACAAAGTATCATATCGTGTGTGGTTGGCCAAACATATGCTCCCACATGTTGTCTGGAAAATATAAACCTGTACCGAGTTAACCTTTTCACCACCAGACTTTCTCACACAAATTTGTCTGTACATTTTATTTATATTCTTCAATATTTCTGGACATGAACCTTAGTTTTGGAGCCCACACACAAAATTTGAGTCAATGTTCAGTTTTTACTAAAAAAATTGGCTATTTTTGTCCCAAACTTCTGAAGGGAAGTGCAGACTATAAACAGGAATATTTTGGTAATTTGTGATGAAAAGAGGAAACTGGTGGTGAAATATTTATTAAAATGCCTTGTGAATTAGATATTATCATGACATTGACATGAGAATAAATTAAAATATGTATTCACACAATATGTTCTATTTTTTGGTATTTTAACCAAAAATTTCAAGTGTCACTTATATGTGTGGATACTGACTCAAAAAAGTATAGTAATTCTAAAAATAAATTATACCATACATTACTTTTTGTAGCCAAATAAAGTAATGTAAATAACCAAATACATATTGCCATATTACTGTGTAACTAATATTATATATTTGTATTATCAGTTGACTTCCACTGGATCGTTTTATTTTATTTTGTGTTATTGAAAAATTGGTTTCAACCAAATTGTGATTTTTGCTTTTATTAAAAATTATAATTCTATTACATATAGGTAATGAAAAAAATATGTTTTTGATGACCTCCGACCCCAACAATTAATTGTCCTAGTATGTACCATACTATGTGATCGTAATAAAAAACATTTTTCAAGTAGTCATGACAGAATGTTCTTTGTATTGACTATAGAGGGCGGTATGTGACTTATTTATTTACTTTTAGGGTGCCATTATTGTACATGAAGTGTATGAAGAGGGCGCTGCAGCTAGAGATGGTCGATTATGGGCTGGAGATCAAATTCTGGAGGTAAAAGTTGTTTTATCAGGTTTAAATTAATTTATATACCATTTAATATTAATAATAATAATAATAATAATAAGATGTATATATTAGAATAAATATCTACAAAAACAAAGGAAAGAAACTAATTTGGATAAAATTGAAAATGCATATATTCATAATAACCTCATATTGCAACATGTTATATATATATAGCCATTGGTCAGTTTTGGTGCCGAACGTTAGAGTTGATTTCTGTCACGCTCACAGAACATGTTTACTTTGATTAATATATTTACTTTCTTGAGTAATTGTCATATTTAGCTTTCTCGTTTTACTACCTCAGTGTAATATGCAGCAATGGAAGTTGTTGTCAAAAATTTAATTTGTTTTGGATTATAATTATTTCTGTATATTTATAAAACATTTCCTGATTGGTTACCTTATTATTCACACCATTCCATTTGATTTGATTTGATTTGCTGCAGTTACATCTCCTGGTAATGTTTCCATTTAATCACACAATTAAGAAATGCCAATCTTGATTCACTCTTCTATCTCAATACATATCAAATTAACCAATGATATATTTTTGATTAGGTAAATGGAGAAGACTTGAGGGATGCCACGCACGAGAAAGCGATCTTAGTTTTAAGACAGACTCCTGCTGAGGTTGAACTTCTTGTATTCAGAGATGAAACGCAATATAAAGAAGAAGATATGTATGATATAATTACAGTGGAATTATTGAAGAAACCCGGCAAAGGATTGGGACTTAGTATTGTAGGTCGAAGGTGAGGAAATAAATAAATTGCATTTTTAATACCATGTCCCCCAAATAGCAGCCACTGTGTTTAGAGAGGGTTGTTTGAAAGTGAAGCGAGGCTGGGTCCATGGAAAGGTTTTTGTGAGGTATTGAAATTTCTCATTCTGAGCAATTTCAGAAATGTCTCTACCATCTCTCAATTTTCGGTCCCCCAGAGACTTGCAAATTGGCGTCTCTGAATGAGTTCGTATGTACGTAGCCTCCTATATCTTTAACATGCCTGGACCCTCTGATTTAAACTTCACATATACATCTTGTGATGCGTATGCATGTCTATTTATTTCACTCTCTGATTCAAGATGGCCATTTGGCTAATTTTTGCGCTAAATGAATCAAGATCAAACATTTCTGCCATTCCAGAGCAGCATCTTAGTCAGGCATGGACAGATTTTGTCAAAACTTGATATACATTGAAGGCCTTAAGTGATGCAAGTAATTTATTTTAATTTAATATTTTTTTAATGACTTTTTGACATATAGTATATCAGTTAGTAGAGAATATGATGATATTAAAGTCATTATTGTATGATACTTTCAGTTTGAAATGGTAGCTATGAGAACATCACAAAACTTTGTTTCCATGGAAACAATTATGTTTTATGTCCATATAGCACAGTAAAATTGAGTAGTTTTTGTTTAGTCATTGGCGTTCAACCATAGGCACAATAAATAGGTTGTATTGTGTTTTCTGGGTAGGAATGATACTGGTGTATTCATATCAGACGTAGTCAGAGGTGGTGTTGGTGAAGCTGATGGCAGACTGATGCATGGTGATCAAATTCTCACTGTGAATGGAGAGGATTTACGATCAGCAACACAGGATACAGCTGCAGCTTTACTAAAGGTACGTATGACCAGCAACACAGGACATAACTGCAGCTTTGACGGTATGTATGACCCGTAACACATGATATAACTGCAGCTTTGAAGGTATGTATGACCCGTAACACATGATATAACTGCAGCATTGAAGGTACATGTATGTATAACCAATAACATAGGATATAACTGCAGCTTTGAAGAACGTATGACCAGCAACACAGGACATAACTGCAGCTTTGAAGGTATGTATGACCAATAACGTAGGATATAACAGCAGCTTTGAAGGTACTTTAGTATGTATGACCAATAACACAGGACATAACTGCAGCTTTGAAAGTATGTATGACCATAACGTAGGATATAACAGCAGCTTTGAAGGTACTTTAGTATGTATGACCAACAACACAGGATATAACTGCAGCTTTGAAGGTATGTATGACCAATAACATAGGATATAACTGCAGCTTTGAAGGTATGTATGACCAGCAACACAGGACATAACTGCAGCTTTGAAGGTATGTATGACCATAACGTAGGATATAACAGCAGCTTTGAAGGTATGTATGACCAACAACACAGGACATAACTGCAGCTTTGAAGGTATGTATGACCAATAACATAGGATATAACTGCAGCTTTGAAGGTACTTTAGTACGTATGACCAGCAACACAGGACATAACTGCAGCTTTGAAGGTATGTATGACCAGCAACACAGGACATAACTGCAGCTTTGAAGGTATGTATGACCATAACGTAGGATATAACAGCAGCTTTGAAGGTACTTTAGTATGTATGACCAGCAACACAGGACATAACTGCAGCTTTGAAGGTATGTATGACCAACAACACAGGACATAACTGCAGCTTTGAAGGTATGTATGACCAATAACATAGGATATAACTGCAGCTTTGAAGGTACTTTAGTACGTATGACCAGCAACACAGGACATAACTGCAGCTTTGAAGGTATGTATGACCAGCAACACAGGACATAACTGCAGCTTTGAAGGTATGTATGACCATAACGTAGGATATAACAGCAGCTTTGAAGGTACTTTAGTATGTATGACCAATAACATAGAATATAACTGCAGCTTTGAAGGTACTTTAGTATGTATGACCAACAACACAGGACATAACTGCAGCTTTGAAGGTACGTATGACCAATAACATAGAATATAACTGCAGCTTTGAAGGTACTTTAGTATGTATGACCAACAACACAGGACATAACTGCAGCTTTGAAGGTACGTATGACCAATAACACAGGATATAACTGCAGCTTTGAAGGTATGTATGACCAACAACACAGGACTTAACTGCAGCTTTGAAGGTACGTATGACCAATAACACAGGATATAACTGCAGCTTTGAAGAACGTATGACCAGCAACACAGGATATAACTGCAGCTTTGAAGGTATGTATGACCAACAACACATGATATAACTGCAGCTTTGAAGGTATGTATGACCAATAACACAGGACATAACTGCAGCTTTGAAGGTATGTATGACCAATAACATAGAATATAACAGCAGCTTTGAAGGTACTTTAGTATGTATGACCAACAACACAGGACATAACTGCAGCTTTGAAGGTATGTATGACCATAACATAGGATATAACAGCAGCTTTGAAGGTACTTTAGTATGTATGACCAATAACACAGGACATAACTGCAGCTTTGAAGGTACTTTAGTATGTATGACCAACAACACAGGACATAACTGCAGCTTTGAAGGTATGTATGACCATAACGTAGGA